TCGGTCTCGACGCCCGAGGACAGTAGGACTCGCCTGATCAACGACTCCGACTTCCCATCCCACCTCCCGGCCGACCTGGGGATGCGCCATGCTCCCGATCGACCGATCTGATCCCCGTTGCTAATCCGGGATATTTCCCCTACTCATTACTGTGTATTGTTGCTTCGCTGAATATTGTATTATTATTCTGCGGATCTCGTTCCAGTGCTATTGATGTAATAAGGATAAATCGATTTGTGAGTTAATCAGTGTCTTCTTTATTTTGGGTCATGACCAGGGGCCAGCAGTTCGTGTAAAATGATCCTCATGGGCCGGATCATTACTATATAGTTTTCGTGATTCGGAGGTGTCCGCGTAGTGGTTACTAAGGCCCTGTTCAGAGATGTCCGCCGGCGCGAAAAAACGCACAGGCGAAAATCTCCGCCAAGATTTAGATACGCATCGACTGAGAAATTGTGAAACGCGTAAGCGAAACGTCCGGAGCAGGCGAATTTCAGTCAAGAGTTTGATATGTATCGACTGTGAGAAACGCACAGGCGGAAAATCGCGTGAGCGAAGCGTTCGTAAGTCGATGCGTATGATACTCATTTTCGTCGATCCTCCCACTTCACGATTCGCCTGTGCGTCTTCGTTCAGTCGATACATATTTCACATTGTTTCGCCTATGCGTTTTTTCGCGCAAGCGGACATCTCTGAACAGGGCCTAACTTCTATTTCGGAAAGACGAGAAGAAAATCGAGTGCAGACCACACATCATAAGAGACGACCAAGAGAAAAGCGGCTTTTTTCTTGGCCGTCGTCTCTTATGGTGTGTGGTCTGCACTCGATTTTCTTCTCGTCTTCCAAAATAGAGTATAACTACCTCAGTGTTTTGTCACGACACAAGTTAAAGAATCCGAAATTCCACGTTTCCCAACGGATATTTTACCTGTCAAGTGAGTCCTCGAATCAGTAGCTCCCGAAATTCACATTGGCGTATTGCGGGTACGCATTTTGTCTGCACAACACATTTTATTTGACGCCCAAGGACACGACAAAGTTTTGCAGACCTAATTGAAGTTACATTTGTCGAGAATTTTGTTTTTAGAGAAGACTTGCCGATTACCTGCCATTGGAAACACTTGAGTGAAATTCATTCTCAATGAGCTTCGATGTTGTTTGTCCACTGATGAATAATCCGTCCGGGTAATGGTGGGCAGTTGTACGCAATCACACGAATGCTGCTGGTGAAGTGAATATTTCGGGTTGCACGTTTACTGCACGAAAGTTTTCGAAACAGTTTAATAATTATGCAAGAAGGCTTGGTTGTGTTGAGCATCCCACGTCGCTCTTATCATTTTGTGGTTCTTTTTTTCGAGCCTTGTGTTCGTAAAGCTACAATGCTCGCTGTTATTGTCTATTATGCTTGGATTTGTACTTTGTTTATTTTTAGTGGTAGCCCACGACGAAGAATCCGCATAGTGATGATTGCAGCTTCCAGCAAAGATGATGTCGGAAAAATGATCACAGAACTGCAGTCGCTTTTAGGCTCTGGAGACACTGGTTAGTTTTTCTAATGGACGCCCACTTAATCAAAAATAGTGAAATATGAGCTGTTTGTTGGACTGCAACAAGGATGAAGTGATTGGCGTGGGTCGCTTCATTCAACTTTGCTGCTTGATCGTAGACCTTCAAATACATTCTTTTCTCTGTGCAGGAGGGGAGCAGTTTAACTCGGAATTTGATGGTGAAGTTAAAAAGGGTTTTTTTTTTTTTTTTTTTTTTCCCTTCTTTACGTATGTCGGCCAGTAAACTCGCCACTTTATTTTCACGCGAGAAAACTTGGGGTGAGTTTTGTACAATTTTTCACGGCGCACCATTCAAATTCGAGATAAGCTCCTCTCATTCCGTTGTGGGTTCAATACCTACTCTCTTTCAATGTTGATGGCGGCTCATACATCGGTGGTGAACGTAGAATGAGGCCAACAAGATTAACGACGGAGTCATCTAGGCCCTAAAAACCCGAAATTTCTTGCGTCTAGTACAGTTAAGGTAATTTTCTAGTGGTTTACATTAAGGAGCTTCAAGGATGGCTTTGTAGACATGCATTTCCGTGTTTGCCCTCTTAGTTTTATAGTATGCTGCTTAGCAGTTTAATCTGACTTAAATTGAAGTTTTCATGCACTACATTTGTTCTACTATCCATAGCCACCATTTGGTGAATGGCTTAGTGGATTATACTTACCGTGCTAACAAGAATTCAGCACTAATTCAAACTGATAGAAAACAAGGAAAAACAAAGGTCTCTGTTTTTTATGGGTCTGATTGAGAATCGAAGCTAAGCTAAAAGGCGTCTCCGGTGTGTTAGACCGCGCCAGAAAGGGGTCAGAAACTGATGGCGATACCTTCACTTCCCGCCAATTTCTGAATTTCTAGTTGTTTCTCAACAATGCGCAGATTACCAGTCTTCTCGTTTGTAGCTAATTGATCACTGAGTCCCAACATAGTCAGCGGACCACGCTGCAGTCTTTATGTACTTCATAAGAAATAGAAAGCATGTAATGTGCACGGTACATTTCGGATCGTAAAATTCTTGTTCAATGATTTTTTGGCGCATAAGAAGTCAGCTGATATGTGCTACATCGCCTTTTGAAAAGTTTCGTGAATCTTGAAATTTGGCAAATTTGCCTCGCAACTGTCGTCAAGTTCAAGAGCACGACTCTAGTTGTCTCTCTCGTCCCAGTGCCTTCAACTTCTTTTTTCTCTGATTTGTTTCTGCATCCATCGATCAGCATTGAGCTAGGCATTGAACCTTGTTTTCACAACGAACCGAACGGATTTGGCTCAACATTCATCCATTCGAAGGTGCGCCGCCGCGAAAAAATCGTTCAAAAGCTCGCGTAGAGTTTCTTTCGTCTAAATTTAGCAATGATATTAAGTAGCCCTCATCATTCATACCAAAGTGGGATTACGGTGAAGGGAATTTGTTTGATTGGTATTGATCAAAATCGATCGAGGTTATGAGCAAAGTCACGTGCAGGTACAACTTTTGGGTGCTGTAATTCTTCGGAATTTTCTTGCTTTTTCCAACTCTTGAAGTCCCCCATTTTGTTGTTCACGGGATATAGTAAGGCTTCTTGATATAACACTCCTAAATATTCATTATAAAATATTCATTTCGTCGTTGTGGGGGTGTTGATGAACAAGAATAAGTAAGTTTTGGAAATTTTCGTAGTCATGTTGTCGGTATGGCCTGTATCTGTTGCAACATCGATGGCAGGTGGTATTAAAATTAAGTGTTTAACTTAGGTGAAATTCGAGCACTGTACTTATTCAGGATAAAATCTTAATAGTTTTCGAGCTAATTTCAGTGCTTATAGTTTCGTTTTTCATGCTCGAAATGTGATGGTCTGGTCCAGGTTATTGAAGAAATCATCGCTCGTAAATCTGACATAGACTATTCTTTGATAGCAGGTTGGTGTGACTATAGTTTTGATGTTTCGTTGTATTGTTCACCTATTTAAACGCGTTACCTTGTTTACCTATTTAAACATCTCCCAGGAGAGCTCAACGTCGATGAAGATCTCGCTCGTAGGATCGTTCACCAACTTGTCCAAATCGCTGTCAATATCGCTGGTACAGGGTCAAGGGTATGCTCCGTATTATTCTCATTGAACAGTAGAATTTTTTACGCAGAGTGCTGCTTTCATCAAAACATTTGTGTCACTATTCTCTGGCAATCATAATTTAATGTCCCAAGCATTTTGACAGTACCGGCGACGTATCCTATCTTCCCTCAGAGGATGCATGCCCGCCACTGATCCTATCCCATGCTTGGGGGAGACATGGCTGCGTCGAGGACCCGCCGTTGAACGCATGATTTTGCAGCTACCCTCTTCTTTGACAAACTTTTGCCTGAGGGGTCATGCTGTCTGGGGCCGAAAAACGCAGAGTATGGTCCTATGACACAACCTTGCCTCCCCCAAGCTAAGGNTTTAATCAGTGGGAGAAGCTTCTCTTGGGGGGAGCGATAGGAGAAGCGTCTTGGATGCAGAGGCATTTCTGATTGATCTCTGCATCTATCAGTATAGACTCTGCATCAGTGATACGGGGGGTCAGTCGGAGTTTTATGCATTGACTTCTCTTTAACTAACTTTAATCAGTTGGTCGCGGTTTCTAGCATTCGAACGTTATTAGCTTGTACGGAGATTCAATAAACTACTAAACTCAGTGTGGGTGGAGGCTTTATGGGATATTGGCTAATCCCACGGTGCAACACTCTTCTCGACGAGCTGTACCCTTGCCTGATTGACTCACTTTCGATTTCGTAAGACGTTGTGACTCTAAGGTGGCAATGTTTCAGCATTACCGTCACATTTGGGGCACGCTGGACAATCGTAGACAGGGTTGCGTTGTTTCGTTCATGTTATTCACCACTGACATTGCTCTATTTTTTATTGATTCCTGTAGCTGTCTGTTAAACCCTTTGGACCACTATGTCGGTACATAATAATGAACACTTCTGTAGTTCAGAGCACTACCAGTTTTGGGATTTTTGATTGAGAAACGAGCGGGAGTTTGGTGCAGAACTATGACAAATAGAAGCTTGTATGACTCATGTGTCGACGAAATTTGTCATAGAGAAAAAGCAGTTGGTGAGATCCGAGTGCCTTCTACAGAGCTGCAATTTCTTTTAGTGTTGTCTTAACGGACGCGGCTTCTTTTACGAATCAGAGTGCAAAAAAATCGTATTTGCAGAGGGTATTGAATTGGCATTTATATTTCAAAATGCTTAGTCGGAGCGGAGATAGTGTGGTGAAAGATGGGGCGTGTTGCGGGTTCCTAGATTAAGGAAGCAGTCACGCTGGTTTCCACGCATGGAGATTTGTTACCTCGCGTTATCATCGATATGGTGTGAAGGCAGTAGTTGTTGGACGTGTTAAGCCATGCGAAGGATATGATACGATGAGATAAGAGAGGTGCGGTGCTTTGATAAGAGGTGCACGTCCAGAATGAAAAACTGAGACGATAATGATAACGGTATCATATCTAGACGTCTTATGTACTTTCAAATCGATAAGTCTTGGTTTTTGCTGAACGGAAGTGAGGTTCAGCGCTTATCACACAGTCTGATAGGCGCACTGCACTAATTCACGTTGTTCTAACATTGGCAGGCCTTATCCACTATCCAATACATAGCTTTTCGCTATCGTTGCCATGAAAGTTATCGTGAAATGCTTCTTTAAATCCGGGGTCAAATACAGCGCACGCCGCTAATTTTTCACAGATGATTAGTTGATGCTAGTGATAGTCCACCGTAAATACATCGATATCTAATTTCAAATAAGTCTTACTCTAAGGGTTATACAGCGTGGGTATTCCTATAATAGTTGACGCCGCCCATATGGATAGAGCTCTGCCTACCTCTGACGTGCTCCCTCATCTCCTCCACTGTTCCGTTGCTTATCTTTACCTATGTTTCCTGTTTTGACTTCCCTCTACAACTTTTCTGGTGGTTTCAGTTTACGAGCTCCCATGCCTAAGTGATTTCAGTGGAGGACGTGCGTGGTTATCCAAAGTATTAAATAGCGGTAGTCACTCCATTACTCATTTAAGTTATATTGCTGTGCCACAGATTACTGTCGACTATTGCCCTTTCAACGACCTTCTTTTTTTCAGATTGAAGATATCATAGACAATCACCCTCTACAATCTTTACTCAACGATGGTGAAAAGCTACTTATCTGTAAAAGTGTTCACATCCTGCGAGAGCATCCTGAGGTCATATCAAGCCTGGTTGGCCATCAAGTCCGGTCTCATACTTGCGGAAACTACCTAGATTCTAGCATACGATTCGATAGAACTGTAAGTCCATCAACTTTGAGGTTTAATGTTCCAGGCTCATGGACTCATGGGCTGGCCTGTTTTGAGTTACCCTGTTACGGTCACCATTGTTTTGAGCTGCGTTAAACAGAAAATGTTGTCTTACTGTTGGGCAGTCCCTACTCTTCAATTGCAATTAATCTGAAAACATAACACTTATTATTGTAAGCTTTCTTCATGTGATTCGATTCACGAAGATGAAATCACCCACACCAATCAAGCATTTAAAGGAGGAGTTCACGATAAGAACAGAGGTCTTATTAGGGGAAAATTACATAGTTGGGAGAGAGGCGGACCTCTTGAGGGTGCTGACCGACGCGCAACTGGCAGCGGAAGGTTTGACCTCAGCGATCTTGGCGCGGTTGACGGGACGCCCATCAACAATCTATTCTCTCGCCGGAGGTCTATACATGGCGAGTGATTTGATAGCAGAAGGAGGGTAGTGCTGAAGAGAGCAGAGTGATGAGAGCATCAGTGCGCAAATCAACGGGCAAGGAAGGGTTCCCATTTATCGGGTTTCAGGTCGTTTCAAATGGTTTTTCTTCATTCCTGCTTCACTGACCACCTCTACCCTTATTTCCAATGATGTTAACGTACTAGAAAAGCGGGCTCCGCCAACAAGCGGGGCAAACGTTAAAGAATAAGAAGCAGATGCTCGATCAAGTGCATGTTAATCACCTTGTACATCACCTGCCCACTGCGCTTCGGTAGCTTCTCAATGCCCATCTGCAAAACGGGGTCGCTGCAGGTCAAGATACCGAACGGCCTCGTTTATAAATTGCATTGTCAGCTTTTTTATGTAAGAATGGTGATGATTTCAGTTTCAGGGTGAGTGAGATATATTTGTTCTTGACCTGACAAATTCCTTCGTGGAGCAGGAGTTCTCGGGTCACCACCAGAACTCTCTGGCGTTCTTACATCGCGAGTTCTAGGCGTGAAATGCCGTAAAGGAAAGTGTTGTCTCCTCACGGGTGTTTGTGGCAACTGCTCTGGGCAAAATTCTTTGCTATGGTTTTGCTGACATGTGCTTTTTCCTTCACAATCGCATGCCATCACATAAAGGCGCCCTTAAGAGACAAACGAGGAAGAAGAGTTCCGAGATGAGCAGCTGGTAATAATCTGGGCTAGCAGACAGTATGTCATGGGGTCGATGTAATGTGGTATTTTACGTTTGGGAGATAGAGCAGCCCGTTTTTCATTATACGAAGCTGCTTCTCAAACTCATCAAGATGGCGTGGGGAAACATACCTTCATCACTGCTCTTAGAGAGTCATTTCGAAGATTTAGGGCGGATTGAAGGTTTTTCTCGGCACATTATTGGCCTATCAATGTTATCCTATGGCGAGATAACGGCACTGCGTCAGGAACGATTTGAAACCGCGCCAAATACCTTCCGTTGAAACGGCTAAGCCCTAGGGGAGGTAATGCGACTTCAGGGCACCCGAGCGCCAGGGATGTCTCCGGGTCTTGCGACAGCGCTTTTTTGGCATCGTGTTGCTTCTATTTTGTAGCTTCGGTTCTTTTTATCTCCATCGCAATTGTGCGGCGCACTCTCGTCCATATAGATATAACAAATAATGAGTGATGCATCTGGGAATATAGAAGTGAGCACGGCGTTCGCTAACCGTCCATTAGCGTTGTTATCCTTTGACAGGTCTGCTGCCGAGAACTTAAGCCTGTTGACCTAGATAGGATGCATGGATTATTTCGGTCAATGTTAGATCAAAGATCGTGAGAATAGTGTGCTGAATCCTGCTACGGTCAATCTTCCGTCGGGATTTTTGTGGAAAAGGGGCGTCGGGTTTGTGGTTGTTTGGAGATCATGCATTGGAAAAGCAGGTCTCTGAGAATATAGAGAATTTTGCACAAATCGAGTTTTGAAAAAAATTTCGTTTCAACAGCTACATATATGTATCCGTTCCCCAGGCGTTAATGAGGGGGGGGGGATGGGGGTGGGGTGGTGTTGGAAACCTATTGTGATCGAAGCCCTTCACTCCATGCGTGAATGTATCTATTTTGTCCAATTTCATATTTTACAGATTTCTCAACGTGCCGTTTATGAAACTGAGGGTGAGCGATCAGTTGCATTCATCTGGCGGCTCCAATTATCCGATTCAGAAGATATTGTTTTACGTCTACCGTTCGGAGCCCTCACACATCTTGCCAAGCAGTGTGATCTAATATCTGCTGAAATCAATCGAATCAGGCAAGCGCAAATGCGGCAAACTCATCCTCGCAGTTGAAGTTGTGCTAAACTTTTTTTGAAGATTGCTCAAGAAGTGGTCTCTTTGCCGAATTATGTGTGCCTTTTGTTTTGAATTTTTTGATGAATTGTTGATTTTTTAGAGAAGGGGTCAGCCTTACTCACTTCGCTCTGTCACGATCGTGCTGCGTCTGTTATTGTGATAGTGGCTGCGTTTTGCGCGAGAAAGTCTGGGTTCAGGGTGAGCCATGAAGGGGATTATCGACAGGAGTCATATTTGTGGAAGGGTGGGATCGTGTTCAAGGGGTAGTAAATAGTGATTGAAACTGCTTTTGCAATAGTTAACTCACTTCTCCCCTCACCCCCCCCCTCCCCCCTTGTAACCTTTCTACCGTCGACTGGAGATACAGTTGGGAGTGTCGACATGGTACCATGGTTGGCTGCGCTTTGGCGCCATCGACCATCGAAGGATGGGTAGGAGGAAGGAGAAGGGTTTTTCTAGCCACATCTTTTAGACACGTCGTTGGCTCATTCTGCCTGTTTTGTGAGTGATTAGGGTTTCTGCAAGCCGGGTGCCGAGGGTGGCAGGTCAGGCTGGACTACCATTGCGATTGGTCAGTCACCTCTTTCCCTGCCTGAACTTCTTTCTTTTCGAGTTTGGCAATACGTATAAGTATCCATGAACTCACAAACATTCACAAACTCACAGCGAAGTGCAGATTATGGAGATGCTGCGTTCTTGAGCCCACAGGGCTTTTGTGATTAGTCGAACGTAAATCGATACGAATACGTGCTCTTGTGCTAGTGCCTGTCATTTTTCAACGTAGTACGCAGAAACTAGGGTTTCGCAGTAAGTGCGTTAAGTACGCAGATTCACTGTTGTTGTTACTTCTAGAGTGTCCCTTTCTTTGGTCTTTACTTAATCTTAGTCACTGCTTACATCTCGTACATTTCACTTAATTTTATTGCGAGTGGGTGACTTTTTGAGTGCAGTAGAATTCTATATTTATGCGTGAGTGTAAGAGACATTTTAGTATGTACAGTTTCACGCACAAGTTTTTATCGTACCTTTTTAATAAGAAATAATTATATTATACTGTGATCCTCTATAATAAATTGTATTTAACGATGTTTTGTTCTATTTTGCACGTATGACATTGGTTTACATGTAGTATATCTTGTGATCATATGTGTCCATGCATAATGTCGGCCTTCTTACTGGCAGTTGCTGCTGGCAACCCGCTACGTCAGACGCGACTATTTTAACCTCTTTGGCCCACTTATGGAGTTCACATTGCGATGATATGTGCACAATTTTAGACTTTCTCTATGTCTCGTTTCATTTTCCGTTACTGCTGACACGAGGGAAATCACATTTGACTCACAAACTCACTTCTTCAGCACGCGCCGCTATAACTGATTTGTGTCCTAAAAACCTAACGTTTCCTCATGCTCGTCCTCGCTGAAAGCAGAGTAATATTCTCTGAGAAAAAGTGTTACTTAAAGTAGACCTAGCGTTCTACAGAGGTTTTTTGCAAGCGCAAAGGTAGTAACAGGTTGTAGGGAGCGTGTGAAGGTAAGGATAAAGCGGTAAGTGAAGCTTGGAGGAAGAGGAACTTCGAACAAAATATTTGATCACGCAAAGAGGAGATGTTCACGCGTTTCTGAATGCATTTCCTCCACAATGCCTCCGTATCTTGTGATAGCCCACAAGTTTCTATAAATGTTCCCCTCACTAGCTTTCATATGTACCTTAGCCCATGAGTGATAGTACACAGCGTGAAGCAACTTTGGATCATAGTGAGGTTGGTTTCCTTGTGTTCATTAAGATATTTGTGTTAGATATTCCTTCGGTAGTTTCCAGCTACGCTTATCTTGGAGTGTTGTCAGTGGGAAAACCCATAAAGGAGGTGAAAAACGCTGAGCCGAGATGTCGCCCTGGCACGAATGTGATTATGGTAATCGGGTAAGACGGGGTGTTAATGGGATTAGCGGCTTATGTCACTCGAGGAAATCTGACTTAGTGAGAGTATATTATGAAGTGTATATTTATCAAGGCAATATTTATGTTCCAACAAGCGTGAGGATTCATCAGAGAGGTACCTCATCTTACTAATGAGGCTGTTATGCTCATTTTTGACGACGAAATATGTCGGATGAATGCATTTATTTTCACATATAAATCACACATCATAATGTGTTATGGAGAAATAAGGTGAATAAACCTGAATAAAACGCTATAATGGCCAGAATTGGATGATGATCTCTTGGCACACATGGATGTCGCTGGGAATCATTTATTCCATTTTCTGGGATGGCAGCCCCTCGAAGACCAAACGGAGTGTGGTGGCGGCCCGTGTTAGCTCATCGATAGGGCTTCACATGGCTTATGCGATGACGTGGATGTCGACGCTGCTCTGACGGCAATTAGGTAAAAGCTTGTGCATCAGTTTTTCGCAACTTTCCCATCGTAAACCCCTTCACACGGCCGACCAAGTACTTCACAACAATACGCTTCACTACGAGTAGTATTTCTCGTATTATTGGTAGGTGTGAATAGGAATTATTTATAGGTCTGTTTACTGAATCCGAGACGGCTCTAATGGGATTCTGACAATAGTTCCTCATCCCATTGTGTGTTGTTCCTCATGTGACGCGCCATGTCGCTGATGACCGTTTCCGACGGCAATCACATCTTTGCGATTCGATTCAGAATTTCAGCGATAGATAGCTAAATTGTCGTCTATGTAACTGTTTGGTAAACAAGTGGTTATGCTTACTCAGAAGTAATTGTAGCTGTATATTGAGAATTGTTGGCGTAATGGTGGCATCAGCTCCAATGCTGTGCATTGTGCGCAAATATCTATTTGACAGAGTATCGATTCACGGGGCGGCAGGGCGTGGCTACGTCCAAGGCGCTTCACAGTCTGCGAGTTTCGGGGAGTTCACTAAATCTGCATCAGTCACAGTTTTTACGTGGTAAGTTCCGCCTCCATTCAAAGCACTTTCAAAGTTCACCGTATCGGATATTGTCGTGTATTCGACGGCTTTTCTAGCAAGAATTGCGAGTGAACGGATTCGTTGTCGACGTCGAGTGTTGGCGTACGTCGTCGTCGTCGTCGTCGTCGTCGCACACTGCACAGCCCCATCTGCCATCGTGCAAGTGCGGTCTACTGCCTCATGATCGGGACAGTTTCTGGCCGACGACACGCTAGAAGCACTCGCTTACATGTGGGACGTGCTGGACGGCCGTTCGCTGACCGCCGAGGCTCTGGCCCGTGCCGCTGTTGTCGTCGCTGTCGAAGTGCTTCTGCTTGGCACTTCATTTCTCAACATATGCGTCATATTCACCACTGCCGACTTGTACGACGTAATCGGATGTTATTTGGTGAGTGCTACGATTCGTTTCTTTTTGATGTTGCTCTGCCGTAATAGTCCAAAGATCGAGATCGTGACGTCTTTGGGGAAACTGCTTTCCACTTCCTTTTTGCGCTCGATTACGTGTTCTCACACCACGATCTCACTCTGACTCTGAGCCTATGAATGCCTCTCGAACGCCAAAGTGGTGCTTAACTTTTTCTGGGCACGTCCTACTACAATCGCTCTTGTACTTCCAAGTACCCACGCGCAGGTGCACGATTTGCGAGATATTTGAGTCCATTACTGCTTCCATGCAGTGATTTCGTGCAGCTTTTTGTGTTTGGTGGACATTTTAATTGTTGAGGTATGCTGCTTTTGGCAACTAACCAGCTTTCCTTCATTTTCTGTAGTTTCCGTTCAGTAGTGTCATATAGCTGTCCTTGCACATTTAGTTCTCACATACAAGCGTCGAGTAGTAGAGGCAGATTTGTAGATGAGAGTTATATCGAGTTATTCCCAGTGAGAAGTTCGCTCTAGGAAAACTCTACATGCGCTGGGTTGTTTGACTCCAGAATGCCTCTGGTGCCTATAGTAGGGCCGCTATCGGCAAGAAAATCCTTGCATAACTAGTTTGATGTCCATGTTTTGAGGAGTAAATCCTCACACACTAGGACTAATGTTGGCAATGTGTTTTCCTCAAGATAGCGAAATTGTAACCGTATATCTTGAGGCTTTGTGATATTGAAATTTTACTTCTTTTTCTACTTATTTAAAATTATTTAAGATATCCCTATCGGTTGCGGATCTATTGGCGGCGTTATTCATCGTACCGCTTAGTTTGTATAGTACGTTGGATCCAACATGGCGATTCATGGGCGATAACTCTCTCGTTTGTAAGGGTAGCGCCTATCTCCAAATCGCATTGTTTTGCTCCACCGTCTACACTTTTGCCTGGATTTGTATCGATAGGTACGTGCTTTGTTTCCATTTTTCATTTTGGTTTCGTGAAAAGAATTTTTTATTTGAGCTGCTGAATATTTGTCATTTTCTGTGTAAAATTGTTCATGATTTGAGGCATGTCGGGAAAACGTTGCTTACTCACTTCCTTGATAGGTTTAGTCTTTGCTCATGTTCCCGATTCCCGCTGTTCGCCGAAGCCTAGTGTTTGTTAAGTGGGTAAATGAATACCGCAAAGTTCGGGCAACCACCATAACCGTCAAAAAGGCATGAACATGACACCTTGTCAAATAAAGAAATTGAATATTGCAAAAGAGCTATGGAGCTTGTCTTCTTCATAATATGGAATCTGTTTCATTCAAAAACAACTAACACCAGAGAACTGATCCTGAATGTCGTGTTTTCTTCTGCTGTTATTCGCTGGCAATTATGTATTTCCTTTGTTTATTCCACATCCGTAAAGCCATTGTTTTTGCAGTGTTCTTTTTTAATCCTGGTGTTTTTTGTAGTGCTCTTTCCTGATCCTGGCGTAATTTTCTGGTTGGAGGTGCTTCACCAAACCTCAAGGATGGTCCTCCAAAAGCTTAGTACTCTTTCATGTCCCCCATTTCCCACTTTTTTTTCGCAGAGATCATAGTGCAAGCATTCTGAGGAAGAGTGGTTCAAGAAGCCTGTCCTTTATGAGGTTATAGATTAGTTCTCTTTGAGTATGCACGAAGGTATAATTTTGGAGCGGTATCATACCAAAGCACTTTGGAGGGAGGGGAGCCGTTATTTTACGAGTTCTTCGAAAAAGTATGTATGCCATGATATACGTTTTAAGTTTGTTGAACCTTTAATTATTGCTATTTCATAAGACGAATGTTGCCCAGCTGTCACTTATAGTTGAGGCAGCGCGGTGGACAATCTTCGGCTGGTTAAGCCTTATAGTCATGCTTTCCTTATCTTTCTATAACTTCTATTTTTCTTATTCGTCATAGTCTTTAATTGTATTGTGGAGAATGTAAGATGATTTTCCTTCTTAGCCTCATACTAAATTTGATAATTTTGCGAATTTTGCGCAGTAGAGTGCCAAATTTTCTAAATCATCGAATCGTTATTTTCGAAATCTGTTCAGTGAGAATGCTTAAATTGCAAGAGGTGGGCATAATTGCTCTGTAGGATTACACTATGTTGCTCCCTTGCTTCACTGAAAGTATAGGAAAACGAATTTGCCTCGGAAGGGCCAGCCTTTCGTCCTCATAATACGGAACAATTGAGCATCAAGGACATTTCCGAGATGGAATGAGTGCTTGGGTTTTTCTTTCTGGGGGAACAATCCAATACATTTTTACTAACATATGAAAGTGTTTATGTTAGATGTGTGATTTTGATGTGATGTGAGTTTGTCTGATCACAAATATCCTCTCCGTTTTGCAACATAGCCTTGTGGTGTTTCTTTTGATGTAGTTGCTTTACTGACTTCTTTCTGAATAGGTACTCCGCAATGATGAAGCCTTCTCGATATGCGGATCAATCTCTAACACGGTGTAAATGCTGGATTGTCTTTAGTTGGATTACTTCTCTTCTGTTGTGCTGTCCAATAGTTGTTGCCCAAATGCAGGTGAGCTTTTTGGATTCTATTATTTCTCCATTTATTTTTATTTTAAGTTTGTTTTTTTCCTCGTGCAAGAATCAAGCAGTGCAGAGAGTTTGCTTTCTTCTTTCGTCTTCTTGTTTCCTGCGACGTCCTGCGAGGTTCTATTGCGCAGAACTCTTTAATTGTCGTGATCTCTTTTCTTATCGGAAGCATGTTTCTTACTCGAAAATCCAGAGGAAGCTCGGAAATAATTGCTTCTCGAAACTCATTGATTCCATTAGAAATAGGCGCAACTCATAGCAAACTCATACGATCGGCGATTCCTGATATTTTGCGGCAGTGTGCTTGTTCTTACTATTGCTTTGTAGGTAATTGCAATGCACAAAAACCTAACGGCTAACGACAGTACCCCATAAAGCATTGGGACAGCTTGTTGTAAAGAAAGGGCTCTCAATTAAGTCTGCATGTTTCGTTTCTTCGGTTCGCTTGCGGCTGTTTCTATGGATGTGGCAGTTCTTTTCGAAGACAAGCGATAAAGATTGTTCATGGGTAACTGAACAAGTTTTCCTGTTTTAATTGCTACGAGATCGATTACCGAATGTTCTTGCCAAGATGTTCTCAAGCGAAATAGGCGTGGTCCCTCGTGAAAGTTCGCTGAGCACTTGTACTCTGCTGAACGAGTTACATCTGCTCTGCGCTTTAAATGGTTGTTAGTTGTTGGTGTTGTAGATGGATCACTCTCTATTAAAACGTTGCAAATTGATGCTAGGATGAATTGTGCGCTATTAAGCAGTCGTATCGACCAAAGATGTGAATAGAAATTGTGCGTAAAACACGTATATATGTGCGTTCTCTTTTCCTTCCTTTCCGCTCCCTGGGGAGTGACGTGATGCAGGCCGGCATCGATTTCCTGCGGCAGGCTACACGTATTAGCGAATTGCTTGTGGGAGACAAAGCAACGGATATTGCCAAACGGGTACACTTAGGGGGATTCTTCGTGCGATGCAGCATGGAAAGCTAAGACAACAAAACAGCTGTGACGTGTACGCGTCGTTGCTTGAGATCTCTGTTAATAGGGCTGTCACTATGGTAAATGTGTGTTTTCAGGTAGTTTTTCTCGAAGAAGCTCAGTTATGCGTACTAGACTGGTCTGCGACATCAGCGTACAGCATGACGTTGCTCGTTCTTGTATTCCTGCCCACAATTGTTACGGTCTTCAATACTGGCTACAAAATCATCAGGGCAATGAGGAATCCTGATCAGGTATGTGATATTTCACGTGATTCCTCCTTTCTTCTTTTCTTTTTGATTGTCAATGTTATGTTATGCTCGTTCATTGTCCTTTTCATGATAGAATTCCATCGCATTCCTCCAAATCACCCATTAGCCATGTTAAGCTGTTTAATGTTCTTGCCTGCGCAAATGTCCTCCGAAAACACGATTAGGTCAGAATATCCCCTATCTTACTATACTGCGTCTATTTGTGCGGTTACGCCGGAAATTGGATTCTGCTGAGCTTCATCAGACCCGGTGATTCGGTGCAGCAGAACAAAGAATGCTATGTATATTTGAAACAATTCATTTAAGCTCTTTGAAAAAAAAAGCATTGTTTCCATACTATTGGAACAGGTACACCAACTTAAGGTTTTTCTTCCTGAATGAGCAGTCAGGCTTCTAATTTTTGAGCTCAAGCAATGAGCTTCTATTTTCGAGAACTATGCTTCAAATGTTTAGGTCAGATTAGGGTTGACCTTGACTTGGCGTTGGTATTGGTGTTCGGGAAATGAAGCTTATCTGTGCATTTAATGATAAAAATAGTCGTAAAGATCCGCAGTGGTAGCCAGGGTACCAGTATTATTACCGCGCTCTTGCCACATGGTTGTCACAGATTCGATTCTCACGTTAGAGTCTTCAAGTGCTCACGGGAATGGGTAGCTGGTTGTTGTTGTGACTGGCATAGCTAATTTGGGATCACATCGGCTTGTAATCTTTTGCGGACCATGTGGTGCACATGGTGCACCACGCAACTCCCTGAGCATTGCCGTTTTGATTTGTTTAGCATTTCCCATTCCTAAGATGTATGTTTTTACATCTTTTGGAACCGGGATGCAAAAAGAGATCACTTTTCATCGATTTGTTTTAGAACAGCAATTAATAATGAGAAAAAATAGAAAAGCAGCAGCTACATGGAGTAACTCGGTTCACAGTGTGTTGAAATTCCTCCTTGACAAAAGGTCTATTTTGGCTCTAGAAAGAGAGTTGAATTTGAATTTCTTCCGAATTTTGTCTTACTGTGCACTTTTTTAAAAGAGAAGGCGAGTTGTAGTCTATTTATTTTGAGAATTTTTTGTTGCCATACCGTTGTGTTTGTTTTATTCAATAAGTTTGGCTCAGTGTTGCATTAATTTCTACTTTCTGGCTCAAATAATAAAGCCGTACTGATTCATATTTTTGATTGCTTATTCCTTATTTTTCATTTACTTTTCTTTTTGGAGAGTAAAAGTGGTTGTCAAGAGCATTTCAAAGTTCTCAAGCATGTAGCACTAAACTTACAAGTATCTTTTTTCTTGGGGGGGGGGGGGCACCACTGGATACAGTAGATAGGCCGCAAAAAAGCGAAGCGTACTGTTTTTGCGGGTAAGGTCTATTGCAAAGCGACTCTAAACTGAAAACGGCACAACCCCAAAACCGCCCCTACCAAAGTGCGGTTTTGCATTATCGCCGAGATTATCGGTCAATTTTTACTTTAAAAGCGCATTTTATGTCTTATGATCTTTGCGTATTGCGTATTATAATGGGGTGCCCCTAACCCAAACAGTAACTTCGAAGACGCACAATTGACCGATATCAACGGATAGACTTGGGTCCAGTTTCGCGATTTCTATCGGATTTATTTGCTTTTGTCGTCACTGCTGTACACTTTTACATCTTCATTTGCATTCCAAACCCGGCCATAATCATTGCACTCGTTTCCTTTGCTCCGATCTCGAAAAAGCTCATGTGAACAGATGGGAGAGATACATAGTGGAATAGGTAGGAGACCTGCCCAATGAGACGATAGGTGGCGCTTCTGGAGCTTTTACGGCGCTTTATCAATGACGTGAGATGGGGCCGAAAAAGAGCTCTTCAACTTACGAATTTCTTGTCCACCCACATTTTCGGATCTGGAGTGGTTGGCAACGCTGCTTGGTTGAATGTAAAAAAATATGGTTATAAATGGATGTTCGTTTCCATCGTGTCCTTGGTACCAAGCGGGCTTGTCTTGACAAGTCTTCTCGCCCAGACAATCGCTATCGCAGCTCTTATCATGACCCTTTACGACAATGACGTGTGCAACTCTTATCCACCTCTGAGCCATCGCGATCTCATCCTTTAACATACGTGAATGCGTAGAATGCGAATATCATATTTGTATCGCAGTCACACTTATGTTATGCTCTTTATTCGAACTAAGCGGCTCACGGCAACTCCCAAGAAGTTTCAGTGATTAATTTATACACAAATCAGGCGTATTTTTTACTTTTTACCTTCGGTAAACATGTGCTTATGTAAGGATTTCTAAGGTCGTTTCTATCGGAATCATAACCCGATAGTGCGGTGAGACTCTATTTCAGGACTTCTTGTTTTTAAGTGGCTTTGCAATATCTATAATGAAATCTAGATGCTAGGTACGGCTTGCGACTTTCCGGCGTTGACGCAGGCTTTCAATCGCCTGATGAGATTTTGCGCCATGCTCCATTTCTAGTTCGTAACCATTCTCCTCCATTCTTCCATGAAGGGAAGCTCCGAAGAGATGTGAATTGAGAAGTCCATCAACAATCTTCTATTCTCTGAAGCCCTTCAGAATACGGCAAAAGATTCCAGAAGAGTGTACAGCTATGTTATTTGATTGATCCCTCCTTTAAGGAAGCCTACCAATGCGGTCGGTGCCAAGGGTTTTTGCGTTATTGTGAGGGTCTGGTACTGATTCGAATAGTTCCATTTCAGATTGCGGTGTTGCTCATCTAAGGTACTGAAACAGGTCATGAGTTGGTTGCATTGTGTTTGAGTTGCTTACTTAACGGCACGATGGTTGTTGAGTCGTATGGTAACACAACTATGGTTTGAAAAAGCTAAAACTGAAGGTGAAATAGGGGATCGCGAATCGCTCCCTGAAAAATTGCGTTTATACGGAAAGAAAGGAGGCGAAGAACCGAGGAGGAGGACGGTTTAAGAAAGGAAGAGACTGAGAATGGCACGTTAATGCCGCAGTGTGTACATCAGGACCTTGTGTTGGGGAAATGTACAGTCACTACGTCTCCCTTCTATCCCTGCCCAATTGATCCCATTCACAACCCCCTTCGAAATAGTTTCTTCAGTTCATATCTAAGTCTGATTGGGCGTGTCACCGGAAATGACGTGGCGGCCACCGCACTTGATAGATGTCGTGTGGATAGAATACTTCGCCACACATCAGCAGAGCATGTTGGAAGCAGCTTATCCACGCAACTTCTATCAAGTGCGGAGGCTGCCACGTGACACGCCCAATCAGACTTCGAGATGTGAACTGTATTACGGCCTACCTTTGCCGTCGAAAAGGTCCGTCAAGTAAGGAGAGGTAGGGAAGTGAGCATGTTGCTGTAACAAGGAAAAACTGCGAAATCCTTCCCATTCCACAAAAGGGCTCCTCTTTCACGGAGCAGAACATGGATCCTACCCTCCTGCGCCCTGGAGATCAGGTGGGATTGCAAGAGGGTCTTCTTTGGTAATCGCAGGAGTCTTTGGCAGGCGAACCTTACTACTCCAAAAGCACATTCAAAACAAAATAGTTGATTCTGAAACATCATGCGGCCGTGCACTTTCTAAAAGAACTTGTACGTGAAACTGCGATTTTTTTGGGCATGGGTGCTCTGAAATAATTGCATCCGCTTCGAAAATTTGCACTTTTGTTTTTGTCAGCATGCCGATTTACTTAAGTACCCTATGAATGCATCGCAGAAAGTTCTTTCTTCGGCTTCGTGTTCGAAAGAAGTTGAAGCATTCATTGTCAGCGTTCACTTATATTAAGAGATAATCTCGAGTGTGTTTTTCAGTCTCGCATAGTCTGCTGTTTGCGTGTTAGAAAGCGGATTCGATAAGCTTAATTTTGCGGGATTCCGAGCGTAATCATCCGGATGAAAAGCAATTATCATGATACTATCCTTTTCTTTTATGTTAAAATTATCTGTCCCTTAGTTCTATGTATCGACTTAGCACTAAATTAGACCTCGATTTTAGCTAAGAAGTCGAGAAGTGACCTAGTAGCTATTTAACAATGTGGTCTAGTTGGGTTAGCCAGAGCAAGATCTCTTGCTAAGTATCCCCTTCGAAAAAATGGGCTGTAGATTTTTCATTATTGAACACTCGAGTTTTCGATAGGCGAACACTTAGAAGAAAATGATTCAGTATGACTCCCTCAAATTCATATCGTTCGTAGAAACTCCTGTTTAACTGTCACTGAGAAATTTTTGCAATCAGAGCGAAGGAAACTCAGCCAGATGTGGGCGTGTCATTTCTGTGCTTGCACAAGTTCTATGGAAAGGGTGGGTATCCGCCCGTATATCCAAGTACTAAGAAAAGCAGTGAAAATTGCTCACTTCCGCTTTGGGTAGCCTAATGCGGTGGGCTCGTGTACTGAAAGGATGAAACTCATAAGAACCTTGGGAATTTTGGGATAATCACGGAGTCTTTCGAATGTGGATAAAAGAATATCCAATGATCTGGTCGTTAGTATTCGCTTGCGAATATCCGAGCATGAGAGAATGGTAGCGCCAGTCGTTTGAGTAGTAGAAAAAAGCGGGTCTGACTTCTGATCATCTTTCAGTTCTACATAATTCACTCTAGGTGTCGATAAGCCCTTAATAAAATCAACTTATTACTATTCTTACGACGATGGATTTTAGAAAAGGGTTCCAAAAGTTTTAAGTTTAGACATGAAAACAGTTGATCAGCACAGCTCAGGGTACATTCGAATAGATGGATATGCATAATGATTGCGTATAGCAAATTTTGGAAACTCTACCATCTTTCCTTTATGTCAAAATTTAAATATTATCCTCACCTCCAAGAGATTTTTTCTTAAATTACATGTTAGTCTTATTAAAAACGACCTCCTTTTTTTGAAGTCGCAAATACGACCTTATCGTTGCACTTTGCCCAACGTGCGGCTCACCATCAAAGGCAAACCAAAGATTAGCCCGACTAGAAGAAAGGGTACCGCAAGGAAAATAGTTGTGTCCGTACCTTCATAGACCGTGCCAGCCTCGTGGCCCAAATTGCGCGATCACTACAACAGTTTTATCCCGGAACTTGCCTTTAACCCAATGTGCGCAGTAGTAGTAGTGTATGTATGTAGCGTAAAAGAAAACTGATTGGGAAGAAGCAGACCAGGTGTGATCCTTAAGAGCGGGATCGACACAGGAATGGAAATCGTCAAACAATCTAAATTGCAGGTTTTGATTGTTTTGGGGGCTTTGTTGTTGTATTATTGAACCGCGCAGGAATAAATGCCTTTGAATAAACATCCACTAGGCAAGCGCAATCGCCTCCCCTTTCTTTCTTCCCTTCTACTCGGCCTCTGAATTTGCACCGCACTTCTAAGTGTAAAAGGAGACATCCCTGTGTGAAGTCATGTATTCCGTTTCATTCTTCTTGAAAGTTGGATATTATGAAATGTCAAAGGTGGAAACGACAACAACTATTTTGGACAAAAATGATTGACGTTCTTAGCGCAAAAATTATTCTGATAATTCCGATCCATGGATCCCAAATGAATCATTTTGTAAAAATGAGAGACGGCAAGAGAAGGCTAGAAACATCCATCAGCAACCCAAGGGATACGGCTGCCTCTGTACCTTTCATGCCAATCTTTCTATGGCAGCGCTACTCGATTTTCGAGCAAAGTATTTGAATAACGTTGTTCATTGAGCGCCTGCCATTTCCTCTTATATAATATTAGTTGCAAGTGCGTGGCGTGAATGCTATTTGCTATTTGGAATGGGACCTCACGGTCGTATCCGTATAGCGGTGGTAGCAAAGCTGCGACTCCTCGAGTATGGCGGCATCCTAATTTTTAACTCAATTTGTGAATCCTCACTTCAATGTGTGCTCTTAATTCATGTATAGGGCTGCTTCCTTGAACTATGCTCTGCGCGGGTCATCGTCCGCCCACTAGCAAGAATCTCTCGAACTAATGGTCAGCAAATCTTTGAAATACCTAGTCACGCTACTACCCACTAGTGGATTATTTTTGCAAGATTCTTGGCGCATCAATAGAACATGCAGGAAACTTTTCGTTGTCATGTCTTGCATTGAATCCTCGCCAGACCAACAACACATTTAATTTCCTTCCAGAGTGGATACTACTTTTGTATGAGAGGCTAAGAATATTGGCTTCCACATCAAATAGGCTCCAGCTTTAAAGTAAGGTACCCGCTCATGTGCCACTATAATTCCGAAGTCGAATTCCAGGCGCATTCCAGATTATGGTTGATCCAATCGACTGCTCGCTTTTTCCTTTCTTAAGTAAAATCATCATGGCAAGCCGTTAATGAACAGAGTGGTCAACAAGGAAACAAAGTGAATCGATCGGTCTGAAACTGCACAGTTAGACAGTTGAAGTGCACTCAAAAGGCTTTCTTGTGGTGTTTTTCCACACGCCACACTGTCTCCACCTATTTTTCGAATGTGTAGTTTTTATAGTTGAGAACGTGGCTGTGGTATATCGCAAACATTGAAATAATGCTACATTGAAATGAGGAGATAGTAAAGAATAACGACTTTTGGTTGTTAGGGAATAGATGGATAGGTTTGGATTTCGGATTTGAAATGATAATAGTAGTGGTAAAATGAAAAATAATCAAAGCTCTCAACCGGTATACTGTTAGGATTGCCGTTCGTTTGTAGGATGTTCACCATTACATAAGTACTCTTCAGATTCATTTCACAGTTTTTAGGCCTCAGGTTTCAAGTGAAGCTGGTTCCGTCAGACCACATTTAATTGAGCCTGGTATGAAGATCGCTCATTGTTGTGTTGGGTTGGAGCATAATATCGTTGCGTTTTTCGAGTGTATAAATCCAACCAGTACAAGTATCATCCAAAAACCGCTCATACCATTTGCAAGTACTCTTCCCGCACTACAAACCATGGTTGACATTTTCTTCAATATTGAAGCTGTGCTCAGGTATAGAGCTTAGAAGCTGGAAAATCGAACAGCGAAAGCCGGCCTCTCGACAACTGCTATTTTTAGGTTGACGTTATCAAGAAAAAACGTCAAGTTGGAAATTCTTTTGAATTCATTGTTCTAGTCGAACCTTGCTCTAACGGACTCCACATTTTTTACTGAAGTTAAAATCATATTGATTTCGTAAAAAACTGAGAATAATAAGGACGCCGAAAACGAGCTCAATATTTTTTTAAATTCTATATCAGGTGATTTCCTGCGGACTGCAATCTGAGTTGTTAATAATGACGAAGTGGACATCACTGATAAGTTTTATGTTTTTATTTTTTGCTTCCAATGTTTGTGTGGAGAAATGAAAAATGCAACCTCTACGACATTATGCTCCAACCTAATAGGTATACACGGTAATCTGTGTAAAGCTAAGGATATTTTGTGCCACGAGTGCTCAGATTGTCGAAATCAAAGCTGTTAAGGAATAAGGGTACCCAACAGTACTCACTGACGCACCGTCGCATTTCTGCATAAACTCCTTCCAATCGAGAGCCTCGTCAAGTTATTGTAGAAACCTTGGCTTGTATGAATATACTGACGAAAAATGGAGATGGTTAAGCTTGCAAGGGGAGTGCAGAGAAGTATCTTGAAGAGTCTACAAACAGGGATTCGTAGATGTATAGGGAAAAAGATTATGAAGAGATGGGAGCTTCAGCAATCTTAAAAAAATCGCCAGGCTTTTCTTGCATTTATTAGTCAAAGTAAAAATTATAATCTCAACGACGTGCAGTGTGTTCATATGTCCGCTTGTAGTGATGCTCTTTTGATCAAATACTTTTAGTCAGTACCAAGTCTCTGTTCATCCCTTTCTGGTCCTCCTGGTTCTCTGTGTCATTGAGTTTAATTCTATTACTTTTGATGTTGTAGTGATTTACTTGTCAACATTCAATTTCTCATTATTGAAAATTCCACTACGTTAGCATTCATGACAACAGTGAACTGGAGCTGTATTGCGACTTTTCAGCTCGAAGACAGCCAGCGTATGGTGATTGAGACAGATCCGAATTTTGTGCTCACCATGTTTTTGCTGGTCGCTTTCGTTCTCTCATGGCTGCCTTTGTTATGCCTCAAGGTGTTCGAGTACTTCATTCCTCCACAGGCAGACGCTGACCTGTCTTTGGTGAGTTATTCGTTATAGTGCTAGATCTAGAATTTACTAGGGAAGGCATACAACTTCCCATGAAGCTTTGAATCGAGACCTAGATGTGTTGGAGCTTCGAACGCTGATTACATTTATGTAAACTAAACTGCAAAATGAATCGTCAAGGAATTTGTGAACTGTCAAAGTCGGCTGGTAGTAGCGTTACATGTGAGCCGTTCTAACTTCCAGGCTTTTATATCGCTTGGAGCAGTGATAGTGCTCTCGCTCTCCAGCCGGTAGGTCATGGGCTCTCCCTGTTGGAGCGTAAATTTTGAGAGCACTACACTACTGCAGGGCGGCTCTGGATGCCCGGACGCTAGCACGGTTCATATGTAGCCCTTTATTTCCAGCCAACTTTGACTGCTCACATTTTATTGGCAGATTCATTTTGCGTTTTGGTTTTTGAAGCTCTCACGATATATCTAACTCTCAATTCAAAAAATCCATGGGAGTTGTATGGCTTCCCTGGTTAGTATTATGACATCGAGGACCATATCTGACAGGAAGTTTTTCTTTTGGACATCTGGGAATATTCTTTCATCTGCTAACCCTTGGAATATTTCGTGTTTTGGTGTTCCGGAATACTTTGAAGAGATTGTGAACGAGTGGTTGCCTTCTGGCGCTAACGGAAGAAGGTCAATTCTTGATTTGAATCCGCTCAGGGCAGCCAAAGCTTCCTTCTTTCCTAGCTTAAGTTATTGGTGTCTGGACTTGACAATGAGTTTGAAAACAATTGCTTGTGCAGCCTGGCTGTACAATCAATGGCTGTACAGGCTGTAGAAGTAAATACAGACTGGCCTCCGCAGGTTATTGAACTGGCCGAATCGCATTCAAGTGAGACTACAATTTTGAGTGGAAGTAAAATGCATGGCGCCTCCAAAGAGGGGTTGATCAACGCCGAAAGCTTTACTCTTTCGATACCCTGTTTTGTGTTGCTCTTGCTAGACCCATATACGCTGATTTCGCATTGAGCGATGAAACCCTGTCGTACTTGTTGCCACTTCTGACTTCGAAGAAATTACTTTAGAAGTGCTATAATATGTGCGTGTGTAGCCATGAATACTCTACGCTTTAAGTGTGGGGAGTGAAGGAGAAACGACTTCTCATTACATCCGCGTGTTTATATTTATTGAAATAGTTTTAGTCGACACTCGCAACGCGTGCGAGCCCTGGTGAAGAGAGGTACCGAAACACAAGCAGTGAACCAACCATATGGAAATGATTATGCGCTCTCGTCGCGTCGACAATTTTCAGACTGTTTCTGGCTTGGTTTGAGGCTGACGTTCACTGCTTATGGCTTTTGGCACGCGAACTTTCGAAGCGTCTGCGCCGTGCGCTGCGCTCAGCCCCTTTCGCGATACTGTGTGGAAAGGGACGCAATAGCGTACATTCATTGAAATCCTTACCTATACAACAATGCTTGCTTTCAACGTTCTAAAGGTTGAAATCACTCAGTATTAAAAATAGGTCGAAATGGAAATGGTGATTGGAATTAATTGACGTTCACCACCATTTTGAGACGCGCTTTTGCTTTTGATCCAATGTTTTATATTCGCTTGGATACGTCCTCTCTTACACGCTAAGGCTGTGGCTCCTTCGATCCCCGCAAGTGAAATGTCGTACTTCTAGCCATTGCAGGAGTAGGTGTTAGTGATTAGAATTGGTTGAATGCGAAGTTCATGAACAAAAGATTGATCGAGTATTTTTCAGGCCACTTTCATCTTTGTCTGGTTAGCGATAGCAGGACCATCGGCCAAATTCCTTATATACATGTTTATTAACGGAGCTTTTCGGAGCAGTTTTCTGTCTTGGAGACCGTGTTTGACAGTTTGCTGCCCGGCGAACAGGCATCAAGATTATCGTGACATTACTTTCAATTCGTATTTATAGCGAATAGCAGTTTACGCCATGCCCAGACCGTGCTTACGGTGATTAGATGATTTGTAGTTAGAAGGCGTCAGATATACTTATACACAAAACATTTCACTGCAATCTTGTCATCTCTTATGCTGAAACAACGATCTCATTTTATCTCAGATACTCATTCATTACTGTACTTGTACTTGTTGTCGTAGAATTGTTGTACAATTTTGTTTCCGAATATATAGGTGATATCATTATGTATCGATCGTGATTAGTAGAGCAGTGAGTTGTTGTTCTAGTTTCCCTATTCTTAATTATTCCTTTTTGCAATTGATTTGTGTTAAAGTTGTATATCTAGGAGCTCTCGATATTAAAATATATGTTTTTTTTTAAATTATCATCATGCATATTGTCGTTGTGTCCTGGATCTCATGGAACATTCTTTCTGATATTGTCGACGAATACGCATGGCATTTGTCCGAAACCGCAATTTATAGGGTATTGAAATCCTTCTTTCGGGTTGATCACGTTCTGCTAGACCTCATCTCGTTCTTTTTATATTTTTCTCAAACACTTTTCTAATTTCAGTGTTTCTGCTTCATATTTCCGTATTCTTTGCTCATTTTTGTGCTCTTTACAGACGAATTCATATATTTCTCCTCTCTGTTTTGTAATTTTATTGTCCTAATTTCCAATGTCTCCTATTTCTTGCTCATCTGGCGTAATAGGCAAATGTGGGACTACTTGAGAATACTGTTTATTATTACTCTATTGATATTTATTTAAATCACATCATTAAGCTACTTCAATAAGGCACTTTGATGGTCAGAGAGAAGTGGCACCACGTGTATTTGTATCATTTTGTTTTTCTCATTTCATACTGTCTGCCACAGAGTTTTGCTGTATTTATTGGATTATAAATATTTTTTCTTTATACTCCTTATTAGAGAGGCGTTCGTTCGCAATATGTTAGTGAATACTTTCATGAACGAAGAATGCTAGATTCTGCATTAAGTCTTCTGAGCCTGTGACTTCATCATAAGAGAGAAATATAAAGTCCGATACCCTTCGGTGATATCTAAGGGGACGCTACGCATCACTAAAGAACCTAGCCATACTGCTTTTTACCAGCTGTGTCCCGCAGATATAAAAATACTGTTTGTAGTCGGCACATCTATCTCACGAGATAGTCCTCACACGAGATAGCCAGCAGCTGTCCCTTCATGAGCACAGTCTCCTGTTCCACGTAGCCTTGATTTAGGGTCAAGCCCCGGAATAAAATAGGTGTGAAAGAGCGTTCAGTAATGAAACAGGAGGTGGCAGCAGAGTCAACCCTGCGTTGCGCAGTTCGCAACGGCACGTCGAGAGATCCTCAACGCACGCTGTATGGGCGGAGCGCCAGACGACTCGAGCATGCGAGTGTGAATGTTCGCGCGAGAGAACGTGTCTAATCGGGCGAAACTGCGCAACGTGGCCGTTGAAAACTGCGCAACGCAGGGTTGACTCTGGGTGGCAGCGGTCTGTAAAGAAAAAGAAAGCAAGAGAAACTTCTACGCCCTTAAACGAGACTTCCTCCATTTCAGACACATTACACTTTGGGATAAAGAAGGGGCGTGTTGGACGAGTTCCACGAACCTACCTCAACTTGCTTTAGTACCAATGGCATTGAAATGCAATGCAATCGCTGCCGCAACTGCGTCCGCGCTCTCATAGTTTCACGTGGCAGCCGGCCGCGAAAGGCGGGCCTTGCTGATGAAGGTGTGGATTGCTTGTCAAGCAAGATTCTAGAATCTTTGTCGCGCAGTTTCAAGCCGCAAAAGGACGCGAAATCAACCTTTGTCCGCCTGTTTACTACGCTCGGAATTGAAAAAGTGAGCGTGCCTAGTTCCAGCGTGTGTCTTTGAATGATTCCAATCAACGAAGGGATATCGTACAGCTACATAGTTGCGTGCGAAGCGATTGTAACCTCACAGATCACCTCGTGCTTATGACGCGATGCAGCGTCAAAACTAGGGTTTCTATGACGTAGGCATAAAATACACGGTGTAGTTTTTGTAAGCTGGGCTCTCGAAATGTCCTAAAAACTTACTGGTCGCTAGCAGTGGTAAATTATTGCGCGTGGCGTTGAGCGATCTCGATAAGGGCGCACCATGACTTCTAGCGGAGGTGTCAACTTATTTGAGTGGTGTTATATATGGGCGACGGACTTTTGGCTCGTCCGGGTTGGCACGCGGCAAATTGCGCGGTGAGCGGCGCGGCGATCCCGACATCGCGGGAATTCAACAAGTCAACGTGTGAAGATTGCGGATAAAATCCGCAAGGTTCTAAAATTCGAAATGCATCTGAACGGCTGGAATTTTAAGTACAGCGGTGGTTGTAGCAATAGGACGAGATGAGAAGGAACTAGCATAGTGCTGTTATGTCAGTCAGGGAGGTCATGTTGTTGGGGGAGGTAACGTTCCTTTTTGGGGGATGTTGGTGAGACAATTACTGTGTTTGGGACCGAGATTTAGGGAGGGAAGGGATTCTGGGGAATAGAGCTACCCTAGGACCAAGCCCAGCTGAAGGGTTCCCCGGCGTTCTTCCCCTCTGCTGGGCTTAGTCTTGGTGTAACCTACCATCAACCGTGTTTTGTTATTTTGTTTTGAATGTTTCTCCTCTGAACGTGAGTGCCTCGATCAGCAAAACATATATAGTTGACATTAAACTGCCAAAAAGAACTCCCATTTTTAGTGACTCTTACTTGCTTTGATGGTAGTAGTTACATTTACATGAGGGTCCTCACTCATCTCTTGCGCTGAAATCTCCTCACCGATACTGCTGCCTCCAATCCCCATGAGCAGAAAGATTTTCAAACAGCAGAACCATGCGGAGTTTATTCGCAATCTGCACACGCATTAACGTGTTGAATTCTACTCGAAGAACCCGCGAAGCCTTGTCCCGTCCAGATCGCCGCGCGTGCTGCCGCGCAACTCGCCGCGTGCCAGTCCGGACGAGCCAAAAGTCCCGCACCCGTTATATATGTGTACATGATCTCTTGCTAGTGGAAGCCAAGCTGTGTGTGATAAAGAAAGTTTTTCGTCTAAGGCTGCGTTGTGGATCCACCATCGCTGAACATGTTCCCTTACTCGCCTAATTTTCCTTCAATCCACTTTCTAAGAAATGACGCATAAAGAGTGAATGCCCAGCTAATCGGTTGGAACGTTTGCGCAATTCAGTGGGACCCTTGACTTTGATTAATTGTATTCGAATATGGGGATGTTGCAATAATGGGAATAATAACAATAAGGGTGGAAGGTGTGTAGAGGCAAGTGGCACGCTTACCACGCTTGTGTTCCGGGGATCGAATCCTGGGTCGTGATTCGTCCGAGCCAGCCAAACCTTCCATCCCTCCGGGGTCGGCTAATTGGTACCACACTTGCCTGGAGGATAAAAAAAATCACTGGCGTCTACATCTGCTGGCTTCCGCAAGTCATTGTAAGGGGCCCCGTCGCATTCAAATGAATGAACGAATGTACAAATGGAAGTAGAATTCGTGTCGCATCTCAAAATGGTATTGATCAACGCAAATGCTTTATCCTTTGTTTTTATGGTGAAGTTTCTTGAATATTTATTCCCTGGTGCTGCCCTTCTTTTGCAGTTTTTTTTTTCAATTTTGCCTTATACTGCGATCAGCCATGACGATCGCTTATTTAGTGTTATTCTGTGTGGCTGTACGAAGCGCATTCCACTGAAAAACAAGGAAGCCTTTTGTCAGGTGCGCTGGAAAAGGTTCGGATTCTCGATGAAGCTATAGTTTGTAATCAACATCCATTTTACTATGGCAACCGCAGCGAAATCGGCATACATTACTGCTTTTCAGGACTGACTATGAGGCTTTTGAGGGTTGTAGTTGACGAGCAAGTATTGGGATGCTAATAGTTTTTTAATTAATTTCGTATCCGGCTTTTTTTGTTAAACCATCTAAATTTATTCACACGGATGGAGGTTTGAGGAAGGTTGACATGGGTCAGAAATGATTTTTCAATTGTTTCCAAGTATGGCTCTTACCGGAAAGGTCAAATGCAACACCTGTTCCTGTGGGAAACTATATCGCAAAGTCGAGAAATATCTTCGTGAATTTCCAGTGAGAATTTTGAAATTGCAGTGGGGTTCCCATTTGCAACTTGTCTATTTTCAAAATAGGCTTCGTATAAAATGGTAAACAGGTTGTGAAGGCAACATACATATTTATATTCCAATATCTGTTGAGCTTTTCCTGTGACCTAGAAGTTCGGAAAATTTGTTAGTCGAGTTTTTAGAGAGGGACCTCTCGTTTTCAAAACTTCATTCGTCGAATGTCGCTGCTAGCGAGTTCCCTTGAACACCTCGGAATGCTCTCAGAACACATCCTCCTTTGACAACCGATAAGAGTCAAAGCGCTGAGTTGATCATTGTCGTTCTAGGTTGCTCCCCGCAGTCCACTTTCATTTAGATTCGTGGACCGCACATCGTTACTTAGTCTTGGTTCATATGCCAAGACTAATGCACGGCGCAATTGAATTTCATTGAGTAACACTTGCACCGATTTCCTTGGTCCTAACGGTGTCCCTCCCAGAGTTTATAATAGAATGACGGGAAAATGGCTAGTTGTAGTGAGTAATGCACGGCGAGCTATAACACGTAATAGCGGGTGGTAATGTGCTGCACATTAGCAATCATACCTACATATGCTTCTGAATAAGGCACAATATGTATTTTTGCGAAATTGCGTATAGTTTTCGTGATTTTCGAGGCAGGGAAAAGATGGGGGAAATAGTGAAATTCATGCTAACTTTTTTCTTTGCAGATTTCGCCTCAATCCACCGTCTTCCATCTTCTTTACCTTTTCGGGCTTTTGTGAGTCTTCGAAGTCTTCCGTGCTGGACATCTAGTAAAACGACGTTATTCGCACTCAATCGAGAAGTTCATGTTTTCAACAATAATTAATAGGTTCATATAAATAACAAAGTTAATAGCGTCAGCAGGTTTTTAGATCTATCAACCTGGGATTTACTCGTTTTATTCAGAATTTGAATAATTGTTTTCTTTTTGGGGGGAAACAGTAGGTAAAATCTGCAGTGATTTATACCATTCCTATCAGGGCTGCAAATTTCCAAGACATGGATTTTGCAGGCTTCAAACGGAGTAGCCTTGGGCGAATTGAGGTGTGTAAACCACTGAGAATTGTAATTACGCGCGTAGAACCTTTCTGAATGGGTGGACGTGCCACAACTCTTGTAACTCACATTCTAGTGCGAAATACCCCTTTAGTGATTCAGCTTCGCAAAGTTTCTCTTAATTTCTAAGCATGCTATTTGTTCTACCTTTTTGTTAATATACTTGAGCGTAACACTTATCTTATTTGACTTGGGACGCATGTACACATTTATCATATCGGTCACCATACGAATCAAAATATGTTCCAAAAGAATCGTAACATTTTGCCACATTTCCGGCGACAAATCAGACCACGGTCTCTGAATGAAGTCCTTCCACTTCAAGACATTCGGTCAAACTTCCGTGATCTGCATGAACATACACTGATTTGAGTAAGTCCTCTCGTCAAAATCATGGAGCAGAAGTTTCGAATGATTTTTCGTGATATGCCCATATTGTAGAGAACATGTTCCAGTGAACTATTAAGAGGTGCGCAAGAGAAATCGCATAAAACAGTGTTCTTTCTTGGTAAGGCTGGTGTCAGAGTCACGCGGAGTGCGTGAGTGTGCGCTGATGGTGCTATATCTATATTGCAGCGATTTGCGGATTTTTGCGATTTCGCGAAACCTGCGATGGATCACAGGAGTTGGAAGTGCACGATGAATACTGCGAGGCGTTGTTTAATCCTGCTGCGAATTTTGCTTGACAGTAAAAATTGAAAGACGAATGTTTGTGGTTCTACTTGTTTCATGTTCAATGTCTATTAGTTCATTGAAATGCATGCAAATGCATATGCTTGAACCGTTCCTATTTTTTTCAGGAATCAAATCAAACCAATCACAAAAATTGCAAGTGCTCCATTTGAACAATTGAAACACTGGATATGAAACAAGTGGAATCATGAGCAGTCTTCATTAAACCCTTAACCATCAAGCAGAAGTCACGGCGGGATTGGAGAACACCTTGCAGTATGGATGGGGCACTTGTAATTTCCATGACCCGTCGCGCAAATCGCGCTAATCGCGAAAATCGCGCAAATCGCGAAAATCGCACGCACAAATCGCGAAAATCGCGCAAAGGATCGCGGACTCTGACACCAGCCTAACACAATTTTTGCGACAGCATAATAATATACGTAATACTGAATGGTATTGAATTGAATTGCAGACGTATCATTAAATTTGATTCGTTTTTGAATGTTGAAATGCGGTACTCTAAAAGAATAGTAGTAACCGGTGGATTTCTTCGAAGGCACTTTCCACGATGAGGTCCGCTGACTTAAGTCCCCGTAATTGCGATGGAACTGTTCACAAAGGTGGAAAAAGTCCCGTTGTTGCGTCAACAAATTACACGACAAGGCAGTTTATCCGTTGGCTGCAGCTGGCTGTAGCTGTTACTTACAGTGTAACGTATATGCAGTAGGGTGTCGGCTTCTTCATCATCACCATGCTATTTCGTCTGCTCCGTCTCCTCTGTGCCCAGTGTCTCGTGGTAGCACTGGCCGCCTTATAGAGAAATGAGTTCCTTATCGACAATTTTTGCTGATTTATTTTGCTTTTCCTTCAAATGATGCTTCCCTTCGCGCGTTTAATTTTATTTTTTTCGTTCCTGGGATGTACCTTCAGAAACTGAATGATTGGTGTGCAATACACTCGGCTGCACAGTACGTAGCCCTTCTTGGTGGGTACTATTGAAACAACAAATACATGCTTTCCGTTAGTGTGACAGTTCGACGACATTTCATTGAAAAGCATTGGATTTGGACTGCAATTTTTGATAACCGAGTCGACAGATCGCCGCCGTACAAAAATTACGATATATGTATGTATTGATCAATACTTGAGAAATAGGTTGAGAAAAAACTTGAACTTATAGAAAATGGGGAGGGAGAGGGAGAGAACTGACACTGTGATGTTCACTCGTCTGATTCCTCAGATATGATTGCAGCAGCCTACCACATCAACAACGCATTCACTTTACAGTTTATGAAATGCCTTTTACAAGGGAGGTCGTTGAGGGTGTGCCAAGCTTTTCAAAGTGGTCTTTTGCATGATAGAGGGGCACATGCGGGAACCACAGAACTTGGTTAATTTTTCCTGAACGACCCTCTAAATACCAGAAGATGGGTCCCTAGTCACATCTTTTTCACCAGTTTTCCAATCAAAGTCTAGTTGTAAGAGTTACTGACTGTTCTAATAATGAAAATGATACTGATTATTCATGCATTCTTTCATGCAGAAGTACAGCGGCATATAAAGGCTGACCTGAAGTCACCTTCCGCTCGTCTCTTGCGGTCCATTTCGTTAACGGTGAAACAAGTAGGCGGTTGATTATGACTCCAATGACGAAGTATACGTAGATTATGGCAACCCCAAATGGCCCAGCTTTAGAAGAAATGCCAAATATAAATCGGTCATTTACTATTTTCACGGTTTAAATGAAGAAAAAATCAAAACATTGATGCAATTCTTTTTTTGGTATGCGCCACGCATTCCACTTTTTCTCAGTAACATAGTAGCATTTGGACGCAATTGGGCCCATACAATTAAGTACTTGCCAGTACCGGCCGTTCTATAATAGAGTGTTTCTCCTTCCGGACGAGCCTGGTAACAACTGACCAACCTCAAAGGTTAAAGGCTTGTTAGCCTGAGAGAAATCTGACTTCGTATCAGATTTTCCAGACTGGGAGGGGAAATAAATGACGCTAACTCTCACCACACCACCACCCCCTATTTTCGAACATGTTTCGATATACCATGATCTACTGGTGTGTCATTATTACTCACAAAAGGTAGTTGGACTGTTACGACTTCATGCCCAACAGTACTGAAAAGCCCAATCACTACTGTAGTGGTGTGCAAGATGAAGGTTGATTATGCACCACCCGCCCAACGTCACGCTTTCCATCCTGAGTTGTTTTGGGACTGCGACGTCATCACTTTGGAGTAAGTTATCATATTGATGGCAGCGCGCGTGTTGGCTTTTTTTGGCCATGTGGACAAAAGGTGTTTGGTGAGCGCGATCTTTGAGACGCGCAACCGCGTCTCACTGTCGACAAGGTGCGTTTTTGAAGCTGGAAGTAGCAAAGCAAGAGTGATATGAGATTTGGGAGGGAGAATCAGTCGGCAACAGCTGATTTTGCGCGAATTTTTACGCGTCAACTCGAATTGCAAAAATTTGTCACCACGGGAAATCGAACTTGGGACCCCTTTTCTGGTATTCACAGGACCGTTCAGGAAAAATGAACCATGCCTCTGTGGTCCCCATGTGAGCCCCAGTGTCATGCGGGAAATCGTTTTGAAAAAGCTTGGCATGCCATGAACGACGTTGTTAGTTTATTTTCTTCTGTATTCACTTTGTTCATTAAAACTACTGAATCTAATTCATCTTGGGTGACAGTATTTTTTTAGTTTCTAGTTTTGTAGTTTCAGTTCTGGAAACTCACTTAAAATCCAGATCCAAGGGAATATCACTTTCTCTTAGGACACCGATGTTCAGAGAATATCTACGTTTACAGATTCTGCAACATTTCCAGAGCCATGGCTTCCGCTGCTGGGCCAGCGTTGACCCGTATGGGAAACATTCGCGTTGTCTATGTTACTGCTCCTTCGAAAGAAGTAGCCCTCAAAATTGCCAAGTTTGTGGATTACTTCATTTTTTTTTATTTTCAAACGCAAACATAGATTTTTAAACAAGGGGTGGAAAGAGAGGTGGAGTACTCATCTCTCAAATATCACTCGCCTCTAGAAGTGGCTTACCGTACGCGGCGACTCCGTTGTAGCGCGGTCTATCGCAGTTCAGGGTGTGCAGAAATCGCGCTCGTCGCCCGCGTATTAGTTCACGCCGCTTTTATTCTCATATAAAATGGAGAAAACCGTTTCGGAGAGGCGCTCCACACCCTGACAACCTCCCTTAGAAATTACACGCGCGTGACATTTCACTTCGTTTCAAACATTAACGTATCAAGAATTTATGTGTGCATTTCTTCTCAACCTAGTCGTCTGTTGTTGATTATTGCTTTGCAAAAACAAGAAATTTGTTTTCAAAGTTCTGAGAAAGACTTATTCGAGTTGGAACGCGTTTGCGCGACAAGCAACCAGCTGGAATGAGAGCTAAACGACTTCTTCGAGGCTCACAGTTTTTTTCTGCGAGCCGTTTAAAAGAAAGAAGAGCGTTGGAAAGAGGAAGGCCACCTTTAACACATTGACGACAGCGCACGTCCTGGCTTTTTTGGCCACGAGGGACAGCGAAAATCTGGCGAGCGCGTCGCCGCACCTAGCAATCGTAAATATTGAATGATAACTCCGGAGACCATCACTGGTACAAAACCATTTCAGCAATATTATGCGTAGAAGATGATCGAGGATGTAGTGGCAAAATACGGATTTAAAGAACGTGTAATGCTTACTAAAAGGGAGTCTTCAGTCTTAGTTTTCTCTGTAGTGGATGCCAAAATTATTCTCGATGTGGATGCGCCAAGTGAAACATAATTTTTTTATCCCTTTAAGTTTGTATTCACTTCCACTACCCTTTTCCCTGACATGCTCATGAGAATAGGAAAAAAACGAGGAATAAATCGAGCTGCCAATTCCTGCTTAACACATTGGCGACAGCGTGACACGGTAATGCATCCCACTTTGCGCACCTCGTGGGACATTGTGACGCAGTAACGCGTCCCACCGAAGTCATCCCTTTTTCTTGCGATTGCGCGACTTATTCCTGAGGTCTTTGTACTCATTCTATTGGCCATACATTAGCATACTTAAAATGCACATGGCTCACAGAAAGGCTAGATATTCCTTAGTTTGGTAGAGGTTTTCCGACCTCACGGGTGTGCCTGCTCACCTATTCCTCGTTTTTTTTTTCATTAACGTAAACATGTTGATAAAAAAGAATAATAGAAGCTTATACAAACCCATTCGTATGAGAAGATATGTGTTTTAACTGAAACAATCACTTCAAATTAATTTTGGGACCACTAAGAGAAAGTAAGTAAAATTTGCCTTTTCATGGCCTCAACACTTCATTTCGGTCAAACTTCCATTACTATAACTCCTGATAAGCTAGACAGATCGAAATTATTGAAAACATTTCATCGCATCTAAGTGTTGCGGAATTACAACTTAAAATTCATGGATTCGGTGTGCGACGGCTGCGCTCGCAAAATCGCTCTTGTCCCACACGGTGCAAAAGTACAAAACGCGCGATGTCGTCAACGTGTTAGAAAAATTTCTGCTATACTGGAGCATATTTGATCATACCATATTTGATCATACAATTGTGTAATGTTGTAATCCATAGAATGGAAGCAAGAAATCCCGAGAAGCATCCCTTTTCCTAGCGTATGCGGGGAAGAATCCCCGCATACGCTAGGAAAAGGGTGACAGGGGTGAGACGCGCAACCGCGTCACGTGCTCAAAAAGAAGCTCTTAGAGTTCTTCGCCTCAGAAGCCCAGGCTTTCCAACCAAACGCATACACAAATTAACGGCTGGAAGGCAATGTTGACGATAATGGTGGGGAATATATTTATTTTTCGTTGACTGTGATGAGAAAGGAAAACAAAAAATATCGAAAATGGACAACTTAATGGAATGAAGTTGAGCACAACTCCCGTTGTATGTACAATTCACGAAAGCTTCTGATATGCAGTGAGATAATGTTACTCTGTGCTTGTAAAGATTGTATTTCCATTCCTCATTCACTTTTTGGCGCTCAGAGGGCCGTAGAAAAAAAAACTTTTGTGTTTCATCCATGTACCTCTATCAAGCAGTGAACGGCTTCAAAAACATCTTAATTTCTTCACAAACATAACTCCCAGTCAGAACTGCTGTCTAAATTTCTTTTTAAGGGTAGCTGTGGAGCGTAAAGTAGCAGCCTGTGTGAACATCATTCCTGGAGTGACATCTGTGTAAGTATTAGCTTTATTGTTCGGTATTGGTCAAGGTAAAATCTGCTGCTACTTGATGTCAAACCCACCATTTTCCGCGCTGTACAGCACCGGTCAAAAGTGTTTGCCAAATCGGTTTTTCGTCCAGTATTTTTTCTCATTTGGAGAATTTCCTATGAATATGTGCGATGTTTTTTTGGTGTTCTTGATCCTCGTATCGTAACGATTCGCGGCTCAAAAATATTCGTGCCCATTAGCCTATACCTCGATTCTTTTTCAAGAAAATCCACCGCTGCTGTAGTTTCCAGTGGCAACGGTAAAGGTTGTGGCTCATTATTGCAGTGCTACTACAGGGGGGGGGGGGCAAAAAAAAGTCACTTTGCCTATGGCGCACATCATCAAATTTTTCTTCGCACAGAATGCCGCAGCTAATGAATGTTTTACGGGAAAATATTCCTTAGATGTCCCCCCATAAGCAGAAGCAGCCCCTACTTCAATGCCCTCACGGTCTTCAGAATATGACGTCATCTGCCGTCGTCGTCAAGCTCAACGGGGCTTACCGTAATCGCTCCGGCCTGAAGCTGCAACCTAATTTCTTCAAGCGGTTGAGCGGTGAATAGCTTCCCAGAGACACTAGCTGTGGCTGTGACTGCGCAAGACCGCTTTTGACCGGCGTTTCAGGGACGTCGTAATGGTCTATGGTACCTCGACGACGTCGTTGAGCTCGTACCGCGAACCATGTTTCCGTGGAAAAATCTTCTGATGTCGTCTGTGTAGAAGGCTGTCATGTAAACTTCTGATAGAATTGAATGTGCTCTTCAATATGCAATTGGGCTCATTTGATTTGGTTTCGCAATTTGTGATTAATTGCGTTTTGAATGTGGAGAGAAGTGACTCTTTTTTTGGCCCCCCTGTATGTACTAGTTTCAATTCTTCGTAATATTTCTGATTTTAGCTATGAGTGGCAAGGACAGCTGCACGAAGACTCAGAAGTGGTGATGATTATGAAAACACGTGATACTCTTGTAGAAGATCTTCACAAGGTTAGTGCTACTGGAAACTATATTTTGAATAATCACGAAAGTCAAACTCATCCAATGTCCCGGACGGACTTCGATTGAGCTTACTTAAACCTCAGGAGAGAACTTCAACAACACTGACATTGGATATCAGCAGTTGGCGCCGCACGCGTTGCGCGCACAACACAGATCTGCGACGAAAATTCTCAAATTTGGCGTGGTACAATATATGACTTCTTAGCTAAATTCTATCGGCTCCATCATCGATGGCTTTCGACCTCTCTTTCATCGTCAACTATTATCCGTCTTTTCCCTGTTTCCGGACTGCCTCTGGACCTATTTATAAACCCCGTCGCAACCTCCGCCTATTTCGGTGTGGCCCACCCATCTTTTTCCTCCTTGCCTACCACGTTTTTCCCGATCTTTAGAACTCCCTAAAAACACTGTAGGTCTGGCAATAAACTCCGCCCACTTTGGTACGTGCCCCGCCCAACAACATTTAGCCTCCTTTCCTCCGCCAACCTCTACCTCCTTTTTCCCCAGTCTCTGGGACTTCTTAAAACCGAACTACGAAGTTTTTGGCAAACTCCGCCCGCATTGGTGCGTGCTCCCAGCGAAGGCATTTGTCCTCCTCTCCTTCGCCAACCTATACCCCCTTTTTCCCCAGTCTCCAAAACTTCTTCGAACCGACTTACGAAGTTTTTGGCGGACTCCGCCCACTTCGGTGCATCCTCCGCCCACTTAAAGCATTTGACCTCCTTTCCTTCGCCAACCTCTACATCTTTCTCCCCGATCTCTGGGACTACTTGGAACCGAATTACGAAGTATTTGGCAAATTCCATGTACTTTGGTGCGTGCTCCGCCCACCATTGACAACTGACTTCTTCTTCGTAGTCAGACTCGATCCACTTTTTTCCTGGTCGCAAGGAGTTCTTGTAATGTATAACGTTTCGTGGATAACCCCCCTACGTTGGTGCATGCTCCACCCACCTGTAGGTTTTGGCCTCCTGTAGTAAGACTCTATAGCCTTTTTTCCCGGTCTGTAGGACGCTTGGAACCGAGGTATGAGTTTGGGTGCAAACTCCGCCCTCTTCTGTGCGCGCTTCGCCCACCATTGACATTTAGCCCCCCTCCTTCTCTGACCTCAATACACCTATTTCCAGCTTTCCATGGTTCCATGGAACCGAACTGTGGCGACTCGTAGTAAACGCTGCGTTCTTCAGGGCATGCTCCGCCCATTGTGGGCGGGCTTACACTCACGGCTTTTGTGCTGGGAACACCTTAGGCATTGCTGCCTTAACCCATTCTTTTCTATTGTGCGGGCTATCTCCAAACCGAGTTATGAATGTTTTCATAAAGCACTGCTTTTTTTGAGAACGCTCCGCCCACCGGAGGTCAGTCTACCTAGTTCGATCTGACTTATGACGGCACACCTTTGCCCACTTTTTCCTCGATTTCGAGGCTGTTTGTAGAAGAATTGAAAATCTTGGTCGTCAGTACCGCTCATGTCGATGGACGCCACGCCCACTGTGTGCGGGGCTCTGCCAAGGTGGTGTGTGTTCTGTACTTCGCTAGACCTTGCCCACCCATCCCACGCTTGACCCGGTTTCTCCAGGCAGATCCCCAGGAGCTGGGGAATTTCGCGACAGATACACAGAACGACAGACAGACGACCGACGACAGACGAAGCGCTTTATTGTTGCGTAGTATAATACCTAATCAGCGCAGGCGTAGTGGACAAGGACACTAGGGAGTGAGCTGAATAAGGTTGTTAGGTTGAGATGGAAGACACTTGTTGTAGTTGCAGATTGAAGTGACCCTGAAGGCCTGATCCTGATGTCAAATGAGGTTCACTTATTTCATCTCAAGACAGCTTCAAAGCGGAAGTAACCCGGCTTTATTCCACCTCATGACGTATGCAACTGAAGATCGGGAGCCAATTTTGGAGAAGCGAGTTAGAGAAGAGAAGGTAGAAGTTTCAGGGTCGTTCCTGTCACGCTAAATGCTGAGTATAGAGCAGGAGTAATAGCTCCTTACTATTCGAGGGTGCCTACAGCAAGCTGTCCATAAGTAGTTGGCCACATATAGCCACATCAACTGGTAATAAATGGCGTTAAGGGTATCATTTGATCATTCTGCCCTTTCAAAGAAATTTCCCGCTTTGTTCTGAAAATTTCTGTTTGAATGAGGATTCCACGGTAAACTCGTAGTGAGAAGGGGTGTGCCTAACGAAAGGCGGGGGCGCTCAAGGGTGCGGGACGATGCGCGTTTCGTAGCGAAGAGTATGCCGCCAGCGGTAAAGCAAGGTCACACCCCCGCCACTCGGGCCGCTGCCCGCCCACCCTCTCGCCGCCTGTACCTAACCGTTCAGCACAGAGAGCGTTCGCGTTGAAGAGGGCAGCATCGATGAGAGCTGCATTAATGCAGAAGTCAGCGGATGAAAAGGGCTTCATTTTCGAGTTCTGGGCCGTTTCTCGTGGTTTTTCCTTCATTCCTGCAACACTGACCTCGTCTACTTTAGTATTTCATGGTACCTTTTCTTTGTGATTTCCGGTTTTAAACGGCTCCTGTAGCGGATTTTTTGATTATCAGGTCGTCATCGAAAACCACACTTACGATGTGCCAGCGTTTGTCTCACTTGCTACGGATGCGGAATCGTTCCCTTACGCTCAGTGGCTTCTTGAACAGACCAATTTCACTAAATCGGGTACTTCCATTGGAAAAGATTCCGAAGGCATCTGAATAGTGGCTGTTTCGGGTGACGAAAATAATGAGGTTGTTGTTGAAACTTTGCTCATCTCATATCACTGAGTTGTCTCGTCAGCATTTGGCATTACTACTGTTCTAATCGGTGTTCTAGTTAAGTATTCAAATTGATCCAGAATGTATTTTATCGTCTGGTTATCCTAAATAACGAGGTGAACAAAGCTTTGATAACGGGAGTTTTTACTTAAGTCTTGACCATGATATTCCTTGCCTTATTGCCAATTCTATTGCTGCTATCCGATTTCATGTGGTTATGAGTTTATGAGTTTCGCATAAAGTGTTTCTGCTATGTTTATGAAATTACGAATTTCGCCTCAAGTGTTTCTGCTAGTCGTTTCACATGATACAAGGACTAAATTTTTTGAAGGAAAAAAGAAAAAGAAGAAGAAAAGAGATGATTTTAAGGCGCTATTAAGATATGAGGGCATTGTGGTAGCACTATTTCAAGCGGCGTAAAACGTCACCTTTTCGTCAGAAGTGGGACTGAGTCTTAGGTGGAGACAGTAGACTCCAGATCAGGGTGAAAATCGTGTCGAGGACGTGGTCGCAGCAGTACGACCCCTCCCTAAGATCGGGGTCTTGATACGACATCTGGCTTTGATTTGATGTGAATAAAGAATTGCATAATATGTACTTCAAAGCATGGAGTTGTGGCGCGGTTTATATATCCCGGGTCAGGTTTGCTGAAACCCCGCTAAAAACTATCGAACTCTACATCTTGCAGAGAAACCATTCCCCCATTAACTTTTTGTACAGTATGTGGTTGGCTCAGGTAGAGCTAGGCTTATCGTTACCAAACAGTGTTGAAATTCTGTAAAAACCTTCAACTCTGAGCGATGGGGTCTCTCGAACTGCGCCGTGTCAGCATCGAGAACGCCGCAATTTCCATGCGAGTTTTTACTCAAGTGGCAAAACCTTTCTAATTTCGTAAAGACATGAAAAAAGAAAGTTCTGGAAAACGGAATATTTGCGACTTCTATCAGTCCGTTTAGCTTTTTCCAATTCCTTAGTTGAGGAAATTTGCGTCGAGGATCTGTCCAAGACGACTTTCGGCCACTCAAAAAGTCGCTTCCTTCTAAATCATTGCGAGATTTGTTGGCAGCACGCGAAATGTCTCTAGAATACATTTTTGACATAAGCGATAAAATAAGGGGCAATCTTCGTAGTCGATTTCGTCTCGGTATAGGCCACGCATCCGACCTTCACTTGTAATTGCAGAGACAATTGAAAAGTGTCATATGATGATGAACTGTTGGCAGAAACCGTATGGTAGTAGCCCTTCCCCTTGTTGAACGCTCGCAACGGCCAATCAACCTTGCTCACAAGTCACCACCTGGTATCACGTCATTAGCTCGAAGAGCACAGGTATTGAAAATCATTTACTGGGTCAATCGCCGTGAGCCGCTTCTTTACATCGAGGGAAAAAGTACATACAGAGGGTACGTTGTAGCATACTTCTTGAACATCTTTTGACACCTTTGATAGGCACAAGAATATCCATGTACCCTGTTTGCCCGGTCTTCAAAACAGGAACCATTTGCCATTGCCCACAGGGATTAAAGTAAGCCGTAGTAACCCGTAGTCAAGCATAACCCGCGGCATTTGCTCCTACAGCCTCGTGATTCTCTCGATTTCGCTGGTGTAGAAATTACTAGAGACTGTGGCTGTGGTCCTGTGAGACTTGTGCGATTCCTGCAATTTAGACATGCCGTTATGCTTTTACAGCGCTGTAAACATCGCGAAAAGGCATTATGAGAATAGAGAGAAAAGATAAAGTGATGAAGTCGAAGACTGTTAAGCGCGGCGAAAAAATCATGATTTTTTCAGCATAAATCACTGGCTTTGAGATTCATTATCCACGTAATAGTGAAAAGCGAAGTATTGCTTTCGTTTTTGATTCTAGAAATTCGAAAACTCAAAAAGCTGCAAACGCGTTCAATTGCCCACGGGCATCTTTCACGAATGCTGGCGACGGGGATGAATAAACGTCGATTAAGTAGGCAAGATAGGAGCACTAGTAATGCATGCTAGTATTACTGATTGCAATATGAATGAAGAATGCGCTGTGTTGAAAAAAAAATTCGGTCATTACCTTTATAATATACATACATCATGTGTCGGCAGTACTTATTCGATGGCGAAGGTACTAAACGCAAAACAGCTCTACAAGCAGCGACAAAAGTAATAGGCGCTCTGACATAGGCATATCAAGTCGAATAGAGAAATTGTAAAATTAAAACATGCAATCGGTCACAAATCATTACAACCAAAAACTGTGTAAAGTGTAATCGGCTACCACCATATCAAGATAACGCGAGTTATAGATTGAATTAAAATTTTTAGTTAAATAAATCTCATTACATTCGCTAACGCTGCATAACACATGTGGCGTCGTCTTCGGAGCAAATATGATCTTGAAGGCTCAAATTTGAACATCTTTCGTGTTACATGCTCGTTGTTCGAGACGCTTATGCCCGCGCGTGTTCCTAGGGAGAGAGCGTAATTGACTCGGGTACGTTAGCGATGAGATACTCTGGCTGGATGTTCATGTGACGGATAAAGCTGGTGGCTAGGCACGTCCTGTAGCACACCGAGGGATCCATATCCTTGAAACATCTGATGTTCAGAATGAAATTTGTTTTATCACTAGTCGTTATGACTCGAAGAGTTTGCTGCTTATTTAACGCACTGTATAACTTCATAGGTGGTACCAGGTCACACGCTATAGTGTACAGTGGGGGGGGGGGCAAAAAAAAAGACAGACATTTTGGCCTATTCGGGGATTCGCCTCTTTTTTCCGCTGCTCAGAATTGCATTCGTTGACCGCCAGAGTATTCCCTTAAGTGTTCCCTCTATAGTGCTTAGGCCGCAGGCTCGCTGGCTTCACTGCCTCCTCTATGGCCGGTCTTCGAGAATAGACGTCACTGGCCTGTCCCGTCGTCACGGTAACTCAGGAGGTCTACCCGTAAGATGTACGCACATTTCGTGAATGATTACATTGCGGATAGTTTTTCTAGAGCATTACTCGCCACCCAGTCATTACCCACTTTGTTGAAATCCCCTCGAACTAGCTTCCAATAAGGGTCCGTTAATGGTTAAACACTGCGAATCCTTCGAAGACCCCATTGAGATCGACCAGTGCACCATGTTTCCAGGCTTAATTCTTCTGATGCCGCACATCCGTCACTGCCACTATGAAGATTCTTATAGAATGAAATGCACTCTTTAGATAGGAAATTTGAACCCGTTCGTCTGATTCTGAGTAAAATGTGCTGAATCATCTGCATTAAAAGTGGAGCAAAATGTCTTTTTTTTGGCCCTCCTGTGCCATGCATCAGCGGATAACATCACGCCAATGATTTCATCAACCACAAGGTGAGCTGGCGAGCCGTTTTGATTCTAGATACTTCTCTCCAAGAGAGTTGTATCGAAGATGCTTCATTCCAGATAGCGACAAAAAAGAAAATTTGATTGGCTGCGCCATATTGTACGTTTGCGTGTTACTCTTGTAGATTACCGCACAAATCAAAGGAACCATTCATCGGACATTCTTGCATTCTCTCGCAACTGGAATACATCAATTGTGATCAATTGAGAGAAGGTGCTCACAAAGATCCAGTTTTCGAAGAGGAACAAACCTACAAAGGCCACTCTTTATAGACGTTCGATGATAGGTTGGGCTTGGGCAAGGGAACGACGAAGAAAGTATGGTCGAGGCGGATACGGCGCTCAGGGCGCTTGAAGAAATTGGTATAAAGCGTTCAAATTCGGAGAATAGAGACAACATGATCGATAGAACAGGATACAGTAGAAAAGAGAAATGTTCTTGCCGTAGGTGGAAGAGGCCAGAAAGACTTTACAGGGAAGGATGTTGGGTCGAAGTGGCCGGTTTAAATGAGCTAGCACCTGCTGCATCTCCAGACGCTGATTCCAAATCTATTTCTCAAATCGCTGAACAATTCTGTGAACAATTTTACAGAGCTTGCTTTTTCTCGAGAAGTGTGATGGCCTAACGGTTGGAGCGGCCTCGCAGGAACCACACTAGGATCGGGTTAGCCCGCTCAGCTTTGCTTTTTTCAAGCACCTTAATTAGCCTGTTGTTTTTCGACGATTTCTCCCTCGAATATTTTGACTGCGCCACTCTAGCTTACGCAACGCACAAACGAGGCGTTTTCACGTCGAGAGAGTGTGATCGTCGTTCCCATGAAGCCAAACTGTCCCTTGGTGACAACTTTCTATCCAAATCCAAAACTTGACTCCTACTCCAAAAGTGGGGAGTGGGAGGGGACAACCATGGGTGGTATTGCCCTTCTAGTAGCTCATGCCTTCGACATTTTTACAAGTACAACTTTTGTTGGCAAGAGGATTCTTATGTTGAAGCTCCGTGTATATGGTCGATAGAAGACTCCTATCATGAAAAAAACCATCATTTTTTGTGTCGCGTCACCAGGAACTTCTGCTACAATGACCTTTACCCAAGGCTACAGCGGTCCAACACTTTTTCAAACAGAAGGTAAAATTATGCTAGCAATGTATTGCTAGCAAAATATGGATTAGGTTGGCAAGAAAGTCCTGCGACACTCTTTCTAAAGTTTCCTTTTTTTCTGAACAATCCGTAGGTAACATTTATGGCTACCAAATGGTAGAGCATTCTCGAGGCTTCAATTCACGAGGTGCATATAAGTGCTGCAGTAAGTAGTTATCCAAGAAAATTTGAAAAACCTCGACCACTAGTAAATCCACACTCCGAGTCACTGTCTAGTACAAATGTCTACATAACTATGGATTTACTTCGAAGACCAGCACTGTCTGCAATAGTTAACTTAGTGTAGCATCTATTTCAAGCGCGCGTACAACGTCCACCTTTTTCGTACAGACCTTGGACCATCCGTTTCAGCTGCAGTCTATGCTGAGACAGTAGACTCCAAGATCAGGGTGAAAATCGTGTCGAGGACCGTCGGTCCAAGCAGTACGAC